TTGAGGATCCTCAAGCACTACCTTAGATTAGTCATCAACCAAATAAAGAGCTTTATAAAGTGATACTACCCGTAATTTCACCTTTTACTCTTGAATAGACCATTATCTATTTAATTTTGAATTTTAAAAGATTTTTTTACTGTAAAAGTTTTAGATAAGCAAAATATTACATTTTAAAAAATGTATTTTTGTTTTTAAAGATGATTTCAACCTCTACATATAGGTTTTAAGAAGAGTGGTGTTATAGAAATAATCTTTTTATTTTATCTTTTTATATAATTTTCATATGTAATTAAATAAATAGATGCATTCAATATTACTGGTTTTACATAAATTAAAAAAATTAATTATTTTAATTATATATTAAGTTGTACAAAAAGATGAGATAAACAAATTGTATAAAAAGCATTTCCTTTTTAGAAATATTATTTTTTCTGTTAAACTTCTAAATTTGATAATTTTCGTTGGTTTTTAAATTTTATATAAATTTATAATTTACCAGTCCCGTAAATGGTCTACTTAAATGAGAATTACAAATTATAAATTTGAGTCATATCAAGTCGTTTGTTACAAGAACATAATACATACTTTTCCACTACCCTTTTAAAATTAATGGAACTTTGTAACCAGCTACATTTCTCTGTTGAAAATGATGTTAGGTTTAGCCTTAAATTACAGAAGACCAATCCAATTTTCTGTCGGCTATATGCATGGGTTCCATTTTACTTAACACTCTAAAATCTTCACTTCAATGGACCAACACAGCCCATACCTACCTCTAAATTTCCCAATTAAACGAGTACTATCTGTTCTTTTTTGGTTAGATATGATTAAACGAGAGCTGCAACCAGTGATGTGCCTTTTCAAGATTCCTTCCCATAGCTGCCATTGTTGGGCTATTGGGCGGTTATCTTGGGAAACACCCAATACCACTTCACATTACTATAATGTTTCTTTTAGCATTCAGCTCAAGAGATTTAAATGCGAAACTTTTAATATCATAGTAGTTGAGAAAATATATAAATAAAAATGTTAATTTTATATTTTTATGTTTAAAAATATAAATTTTGTTGATGTTTAATTAAAGTAGTAAATTTTTAATTTTTTTACTTAAGGCTACTAACTTTATATTTTTCTATTTAAGAATTAATTGAATAATGATACTGATATGGTGTTGAGGTGTAGGTGTCGTGGGGATGATGAGTCAACGGCACAAATGATGTGTCAACGGCACAAATGATGTGGAAGCTGACAAGGACGCCATCTACAAGAGATGAAGATGGTCCTTTCGGTGGCACTCGTTTCATGTGCAAGAAGTTACGTGTCATAGGTCGTCTCACTCTATCTAGCAAAGATAGTCAGTAGTGATCCATCCAACAAAGTCTGGCAATAGAAATTCTTTGACCAAGCTGAAAGAACCAAGCACCGACGACAAAGTTTCAAGAGCCCTTTAATGATTATACAATTATCACAAAAAAAAAAGAAAAGAAAAGAAAAGAAAATGAAGTATACATTGTAATGGGAACTACAAAGACAATAAATATATGTATATATGGATCAAATATTACAACTTAAGAGACATATTTATACGTAATAGATTGTGATGTAGTAGTAGGCGCAATACATGTGCCCTCTACTATCCATGATGAAACTCCCACTTTATAATGAGAAACCCTCATGTTGGAGATGAAGAACACAATAACTTCCCTTCAAGCTTCTCCAAGAACAAAAGGGATGAACTTGGAAGTAGTGATGGGAGAAAGAAGGATGGTCGTCGTGGGGGCTTATAAATGGAGGACTCAATCCCATTTTTCTTGATATTAACTCTTCAGCTTGATCGTCTGATACTCAAGAAAAAAAACCTAACATCTAAATTGCAGCAGTGTTGTTTACCAGCCATGATGCCTTCCAAGTTTGGAGGATATTTTTGCAAAGTTGGGAATGTAGAAAAATGTAAGGAAATATAGAATTTTTTGGGTATTTTTGGTGTATGGGGCTTGAGGTTGAAGATGAGTTTTCTCAAGAGAAGAATGAAGTTTGAGGCATGAGGAAGGAGTTGGATTGGTGAAATTTGCTAAAAATCTTGAAAAATCTGTTGGAAAATGGAGAAAAATCAATATTTATATATGCAATGGTATTTTGGTAATTTTTAGGTTCATGGGTCAAGGGTGCATAGTGGCCTAATTGGGTAGATCTGGACGACTATCGAGTTCTGATTGGCCCTAGGTACTGTTGACAGCTTTCTGAAGTGATATCATGAATTATCTAGTAATTCCAATGAAGGACTGATGGCTCCAACAAAGGACCGCTGGTTCTAGCAAAGTACAACTAATTTACTGAAGGTTGCCCATATTTGGTAATTTTCCTAGTCATATAAAATGCCATTTTTGGGTGCATTTGAGTACTATTAGCGGAAAATTAAATTTACCCAAGATTTTGGGAATTTTCCTAGTAAATGTAATCTTTTTCAACAGTTTCCAATGCAATGTAACTTGTGCAGCCACCTATGCATTAAATATAGCTGCAAGTTGCTAATGAAGACTTAGACAACATCTTTAGTTGATTTTTAATGGGATTTTTTGACCTATAGATGGCATCAAACTGTACAGTTTTGGGGATTAGGTTTGGCCTCCAAGTTTTTGCCGCCCAACCTTCCCTGACGAAGTCAAGCAACATCACTAGCCTTCAAGCTTGTCTGGCACAAATACCTTGCTTACCCATATAGGCAACGTCCATCCATCCATGCTTGCCAAGTCACTACTCCCATAGTTTATCCCAAGTAATTCCCATGAACTTGGATTCATAGGTTTGTATTTATTTGTAACAAAAGTAAGATATGAATGAGTACTTGTTCAAATAATTACATGTGAAATGTATAAATATGTGTAGTGGAGAAGGGTACTCCCTTGTATATCTTAGGGGATGGTGAGAATGAACATTGTTGCACCCTTTTGTCTGTTGGCCATGACAAACACTTGTATTATATTGTTGTATGTGTCTGGCGTTATGCCAAAATGGGGTACGAGTAATATAAATGTGTATTGTGATATCGTTGTCTCAAACTAAGCATTGTTGGTCGATAATACCTACTAACACATAAAAATATAGAAGAGATATGTTGTGAATTGGGATTTCCGATAACCAATAATGTTGTCCCTTTACATAGAAGAATAATGATGATGTGCATGATTGTCGACCATGTCATATAAGTATCGTAAGGCCAGCAATGAATAGCTGCCTTATAGTCAAAGAGATAACATTGACTAATTTTATCCATGGTTGGAGCATGAATTATATGGAATCAAAAGTGCACTCCCACTAATTTGCTACGTAGTGAAGAGGTAAATCTCATCAAACTTGACTCCATTATAGTGATGAATATGTGACAAAGATAGGTGGAGTTGTCTCTATGGAAGGGAGACGCCAGCCGCATCCACGATCTCTGAAACGACAAGGTGTAATATCACTGACAAACACTGGCTCTTCTTGTCGTACCCATATTGCCAAAGGGTGGTCTTGGTTGTTGTTTCCCACCAAGCACTGCACCACTATGCACGAGCAACCACTAAGGGATCATTAGCTACAACTTAATGGATTTTTATCGTTGGAGGGTAGCCATCCTGTCCAATCACAAGGGCACAACTGTTACTAGCTTCACATTAATTGTACCAAGTTGCACTGACTTTTTATTTGTTTTTGAGAGTTAGGGAGATAGAATATGTAGAGATCCGATTTTTTATTCGTTGCTGGGAGCCAGTGTAATAAAGCGGTGTAGAAATGTGTAGCCTTTTGCTCATCATTGGGAACCATGTATGTGTAGCAAAATAAGCCATTTGTCCATTGCTAGGAGCTAAGAGATGTAGTGGTGGATATCGTTGTGGACAACAC